CCTTCAAATAAAACAGCAGGAATGAGAGAACTTCAATAACGACTGACAAATTAAAGTCAAACGTTAACAGGAATTACCAGCAGAACCATGAAGGAAAAACAAGAGCAGAGAAATGCAAAACCCCCTTTGAATCTAATCATTACTTCACGTAAATAAGAAACTGCATGTTTAAGATTACTTTCACTATATCAGTGGTTTCAATAAACTAAGGAGTAGGCGCTTGGTTTGAGTGGAGTAACCAATGTTTCACAAGGTTTGAAATTCTCTCATAACCTAAATTTAAGGAAAATTACGTAAAATCATGGTTATTAGAGTGGAATGGTTATGAAACGTGACCCGTCAGACTCTTTTGTTAATATGTTTTTGAGGACCTGAACGTGCTCAGTGTCCAAAAGCTTCCCTATCATTTTGATTGTATTGACCAATAAAAATATTGCATTAATTTATTCCGTCAGGATTTGCCAAAGGAAAACAAAGGATTGTGCACCTTCAGGGAACCTCCAATATAAACTGTTGTTTTTATAATTGATGTTTACTGCTTTTCATAGCCAGTCTCCTCTTATAACTATGATAAAATCAAATCAATTTTACAAGTTTCATTGTGTTGTGGTAGGAGCTGGTTGACCACAAAGCCAAATAAAACCCATTTATCATATTTTTGGTTTGGTCTCTATGTCCATAATGCCGCCACGCCTAAGGCAGGGCTAATGGAGATGTAAAATAAATCTCTGACGAAAAAATTCATTCACCAACAAATTAAACTCGGGTTCCCAGTCCTGCTTACATGCAGTCTGTGGATGAAATCCTTACTTGGCCATTCAAACAACTGTCTCAGAATGCACAGTTTCTTAAGACATCATATCTTTCTCCATTTTTATGGACAACAACAAAGGAATTTTTTCCATGTTCTTGGAAGGAGGAGTGAATGATTCAGTCTTTAGAATTTCTTGGTTTTAATTCAATCAAAGCAGATTAAATGTGTATTCATCAGCACAGGTAGTTGTCAACAAGACACCCTTTCTGGCAATGAATCTCTAACACTAAATAATGTGTGACATAATTAAATTACAAAGTGCTTAAACCACCAGAAAGTATAAACAGAAAGAAGCCAAAATGTTACGGCTTAAAAGGAGGGAATGCGGGATAAATAATGAAATAACCAAAGGAGCGGTTCTACACCACAATGACAATATTCAACATGTTTTTAGGTCTGCCACAACAATTTTTATAACTTCAGATTATAATGATATTATATTTCACAAAATTATATTTTGACCTGTTTTTCTCATGGCCTAGAAATTACTCATGAAATTTGAGATTTTTTTTTTTTTGGAATTAAAGTACAAACAAAATATTTATCCACCTTCCACTGTTACCACTCAGACAAAATTAACACTGAAAACAACAAGCATCACAAGAATACCACTTAAGATTTGATTCACAGATTCAATAACTTAAAACAATATCTATGTGTTTACATGACTATGGGTTGGTTCTGACAGTGAAAGGATTAAGCAAAGAAAGATTAACCTGATTGTGGGAATTATAAAGGGCTGACTCCCATATGTGGTATTTGCAGAGTAAACTAGCGAACTAAAAAAAAATTCAATCAACCAAAAAATTCAGGGAATAAAACGTGTACATAGTGCTTGGACGTTTGCTAATGGCTATAAGCTATAAATAATTTTTAAGCAGGTTCTTTGTTAAATGATTTCTTTTTCATTTTCCATCCTTAAATAAATTCCTAATTTTTACAATTTGGAGGCTGTATAAAAAATTGTTCTCAAAGAGATGAATTCTAATTTATATCATATTCAGCCAGCTGACTAATTTTGTCCTTTGGACTTTTTTTATACGATTTTTTTTATAAATATACATGCCTCTAAAAACTGCCCCAGGAGATATTGGTTGGCTGCCAATCGAGAATCTCACGCAACGTAACACGTCGTGTAAAGAAGGAAATGACCGCCAAACAAATCCATCTTTAAGTCAGAACTGTTTTGATCGAAAAGACACATGAATTATTTTTGTAAATGGCTGATTCTCTCTTTTTTGTAAACAACAAGCTTTCTTAAAAGAGTGTACACTTTTTTATCGCACATTACACGCGCCGGTTAATTGAGTCAAAGATACACTTGATTGATCACATAAGTTAAGATTAGTCTTGCAGTACGATATATAGAATTTTCTAATCTCTATTCTTACATTCTATCTGATTCTACATGATATAATTGACAATGACGGTCAGTTTTATTAGTTAGAGTCTAATAAAGATGACAATTAAGAAGAAAATGTTGGATAGAAATTCTAACATTTTGGGAAATCACAGCCACCAGAGTGTAAAAAATTCCATATTCCATTTCAGCTGTATAAATCTACAGATTAATTAGACGAATCCTTTTTTCTAACCATTGTTTCTAAACACAAAAGTAAATTCAAAGAATTGGATCACGCCAACTGTTGAAGTACGAAACTGTGTGTTGTTTAATAAACACAAGCCCCATCTTGTCAGGAAATTCATTCAAAAATCTTTTCTTTCAGCGCGGTTAGGCTGAAGGGTGCCTGTAAGCCGTGCTGTGAATAAACCCCTCAGCACATTTCTAAAATGCTCACTAACTACATCCACAAGAATTTAGAATAAATAAAATCATACTGACCTGTCAATGAACCTGAATAACCTTCGAGTAGTAATAAAAACATGAAAAGAAACAGCACTGTTCTACAAGAACTACTTGGGGCCATTGATGCGTTACGGTCGTCGAGTTTCGCGTTTGTCTTCAATTTTCTTCTAGCTCAAAGCTGGCGTTCTCAAGTTTCGCGTCTTTCAAGGTTGTAGAAATGGATCACGTTTAGATAGAAAGTTTGTGGCTTCTGTAAAATAGGAACTAGCGAGTTCAAATCTACACGCAAATGAAGCCGTCATTGCCGTTCATGGCCGTTCCTCCCTGACGAAACGGAAATGTGTCCATTTACGCGGTTTGGTGGAATCCGACACCGACTGTTCCACCTTGTCCCAGCGGAGTGACGTGTTTCCTGTCATTTGTCAAAAACGCGGACAAGCTTGGGGAAATAGACCATTAGAAAACTTATGGGGGGGTGGGTGCAAGCGAAGCACAAAAAAAAAAATATTCGCGCAAGGGAAAATTAAATGAAAAAAAATTCATGCATGCCAATTAATCCTAAAAAATATTCATGTCTATGGCCTAAAAAAAATTCATGCAAGGAATTTGATAACGTCAAAAAATTCCTGCGGCTCGAAAATTCCCCACCCCCCCCTATAACTTTTCTAATGGTCCTTCCCTTTTAATTGTGTCGACGGACTATCGGTCCGGAAAATTTTTCGCAGTATATGACGTGACTAATGTTTGTGGAGTGGCACCGCTGGTTTTTTCTGAAGCCTCGATGTGATAGGATTCAACATGGCCGATGACGGCGTCTTGCAGCTGTCCTATTTTCTCTGCAATATTTGCAGCGTTTAAGATTCTCATGTTTGCTTGCAATGGTATGAAAGACTATAAATTGTTTCTCGTCCTCAGTGCTCTTTCCCTCTCTTATTTCTCAGCTTAATGTACGCTGAACTTGAGTTTAAGCTTGTGTACTTTATAGTCTGCACATGTACTTTAGGTGCAAACGTGGTACTGTATTACTTTTCCTCTTTTTAGAGCAAGCAACACAAAGGCAGCATCTTAGTGAATGGTGACGAACCAAAGAAATTGTCATTTGAACCTGAACCATGTGGTTCATCACAAGGGTATGTTAACTTTTTTGTATCCTTTAGCTACATACAGCTGTGCAAATATTTCTGATCTTAATCTTCGAACTTTGAGTCTTGGTAACAGTGTTAGCCAGTTGTTTAAAAGGAGAGTGATACATGTAGCTTGGCAACTGTAATAGTCACTCATGAAAACTTTCTCAAGGAATTCCTAGATTATTGCTGAGCCATTACTGCTTGTGTGATAGCATGGACTACAGGCTCCTTGGAAAAAAAAAAAAAACAAATATCAGGAGTTTTAAGCCTACAGTTACTTTTCTGAAATGACAATGTGACTGTCAAAAAAGCAACAGGGTTATTGAGAAATGGAGCAAGTTGGAATAGACAATTATTATTTAGTACATTTAAAGGAACCTGAATAAAGACTTTGCTGGAGACATTATGGTTACTGTCAATTTTATGGTTACCTAAGGTCTCCGGTGACGAAAACGGACTGCTGTCATTGTCATCATTTATACATGTACCATATTTTGTTGTCAATGAGGTTCATTTAACTGCATTACACTTAGGAGACTTATTACTTGACTATGCCCTTAGCTCTTCAAAGACACAGCCACATCCAGGAGGTAATCATAAAGAACTAAATTTGTCTTGGAAGAAATTACACACTGGAAAAAGCAAAGGGACAAATACCTCACTCGCTGCACCAAAGGTAACGGCAGCACTTTATTTTAGAAGACATAGTTGGGAAGTGGTGAAGGAGTCATAGAACACGTTGCTTCCGTCACTGTTTGTTTGATCCGTGGACAGTATTTCACTTTACTTGCCATCTACATCCTTGTCATCTGAGTCCCTGGTGTAAGTCTCTGATGATCTAATCCTGGACTGTGCTCTTGATTGAAAACTATTAAGTACTAACATCTTTTTCAGAAACGTAATGCATGGATCTCATCGTCTTTTGGTGGCTTTGGTGAAAATTTAGTTTCACAAGGCAAGCCCAAGAAATCAAAGCAATTGCAAGGTAGCCTTGACTCCTCTTTTAATGCAGGTAAATGAATGGCATCCTCTTGTAATCAGTCTCATCACCATTGTATATTAGCTGAGTTGTTCTTAATAAGAGTTATCCCACTGTTACATTCGTTCTTTTAATTGAGCAGATTACAGCCAGCCTGTTCAGAGAAAGGTCAGAAAAGAGGAAGATCTTTGGTTGGACAAGTATAAGCCAAAATCAGAGGTACAGTAGATTTAACCCTATCACTCCTAGTATAGGATAATACTGATGATTCAATGTCAATGAAAATGGATATTCTTGTTAAATGCTTGTTCAAGCATTTAACAAGAAAAATTAAACTTAAAAACATTACTCAACATTTCAATGTATTACACATCATTATCAAGAGTGAGAAATGTTAAGATTCAAAGTTCTTTAAAGAGCTGAAGTTTGAATAAATTAAATTGTATTGGCACATTATTCAAACTTCAGCTCTTTAAACAACTTTGAAACTCAACATTTCTCACTCTTGATTACTAATGATGTGTGATACATTGAAATGTAAAGTAACTTTTTTAGGTTTAATTTTTCTTCTTAAACCACAACGTCTATTTTAATTTCTACAGGCTGAACTTATTGTTCATAAGAAAAAGGTAGCCGAGGTGCGTAGCTGGCTTCTTGATCATTTGACATTTAAAAAGGTGAGTAGATATTAAAACTTTTCAACATAATAATTAAGGAATATTATTATTACTGTATACCAAAGAGCAGGGTTGTCAATATGTTTTGAAGAAGACGACTTAGTTGTCAAAGTATTTAGATGCTCTGAAAAGCTGTTTTCTGCACTCTCCAGGCTATTTTCTGTCCAATATTACCGAAGATCTAAAGTGAATTATAAGGTGAATTACATACCCAGTTTAGGAATTAAATTGAACTGTAAGTGACACATAAACACTTGCTATAGTTTTTGGAAGATGTTTCGTAAGCAGTCCAGGGATATTTTATTTAAAAAACACCATCTGTAAAAAAAGGCCAAGCAGAGTAGCTGGCCGAAACTAACCAAGCAGGCGGCAATTTTCGCTGGCAGCCGGCTACTTTTGACAACCCTGCAAAGAGGGGACAGAAAAAAGTCCCGTTCACTTTTCCTAGCTCTAGAAAAGTAGATTTTCTTGCTGGGCAATCATTAACTACTGCCATTGTAACAAAGCCAACCAATGAACCATAGTACCCTTGCTAACAGTGCCACCTGACTTAACACCTTAAAATTATTGTCTCGTTTTGTTCTAGCATTCCAGTGCCTTGTTACTCCTGACTGGACCAGCTGGAGCAGGCAAAACTGCAACTGTCCATGTGTTAGCCAGTGAACTGGGACTTGAACTACAGGAATGGATTAATCCTGTCACTGATGCATTTAATGAAGGTAACTTAGTAAGCTGTTTCCTGTTTGTCTTTAGCCCTTAGTGAAACCAATATGTGCATGGCACAAGTTTTATTTAGTGGGCAAAACTTAAGATACCACTCTATATAGACAGCCATTAAAAAGACGTATGAAAATGGCAATTTTCATCAGTACTGTGATAAAGACATTGTCATTGCTTGCTATTTTCTTTTATCTTTCTTTAACTTTCTCCATTTCCTCTCACACAGCCCTGAGCAATATCTCACTCTCACTGATACCATACTCTGCAATATTTATTTGTACCCTTTTTAATGAGATGACGACCATCCCCCTTTTTATATGGGAGTCCCCCCTTCCTGGCATTACATCTTGTTTCTGGAAGAACCAATCACTGCAGCGCCTTGCCCTGCTCATGCACACTTCTGCTGTAAAGATTATTACAAACACTGAAGCACCTGTTAAGCCAAAATGGTCAAAATTCCCACTATGGAAAGACAGGATCAAGTAAAATTTGCAGGATATGCCAGCGTAAGCAGAGCCTCTTCAATAATCATTTATTTTTGTGCATTTTAGCAGAGAGTGGGTTCTCTAACTGGAGAGAAAACAGGCAGTCCCAAGTAAAGCAGTTTGAAGATTTTATTCTAAGAGCTAACAAGTATCCCACCCTATCAATATTTGGTGGAAATGACAATCTCACTGCCGTCAGGAAGATTATTTTAGTAGAGGTACTGTAAGGACAAACTGTTATCTAAATGCATATAACACATTTTTAACAGAATTAGGCAAGCATTTTATCCCTTTATTTTATAAATAAATGTGCTTCATGGAATTTAGGCACCTCTAGACTTAAGACAATGCTGACCATTGGTCTATCACAGTGGGGTACTCTTGAGAAATTGTGGAGGAGGGGGAGGGGGGGGGTTGGTGGTGGCATACCTCTTGAAACCCTTATTGTATCTCAGACCAAAATCTGTGATTTTTTCCTGCCCCAGCTATTTTGGACCTGTATCAATTCTACAAGCTGATCCCAGACAAACTAGAAAGCCAGCAATTTCAGAGCAATTGGTGTCAAAGAGCATACCCTTTAGGGCTAGGCATACCTTATAATATCACTTACATAATGTAGGAACCACCCCCACCCCCTCTTCCTTAGGAGCCTATTGCATATAGGGTTGCCCTAGTCCTTGTGGCTTAATACAGAGCCACAGGACTGTGTGTCTGACAACAATCTTTCTTTATTTTCAGGATCTTCCAAATATTTTTTTCAGAGAGGTCTCAAGGCTGCATGAGGTTTTAAGGTACTTGCACATGCATTACTTTAATTTAGCTGACTGTTTTACTGATGACAGTCTCTGATAATGTTTGAATACTCTCATGTCCGTACATTCAAAGGCAAATACAAATAAGCACAAGGGCTACCAAATGTTACGATAGGGTTAGTTTATCCTTTGTCATGATGATTGCTAGTAAGTGGTGTGTCATAGAGGCTGTGGATTTCAAACCTTTGTAAAATTTGTTTTTGTTGAAAGTTCCCTTGATCATGATGGACTATTGCGGTACCTGTCCACTGCTGTATTGTCTGATTGTGGGAATCCTCTACGTCTGGATATTTTATATTTATTGGGGCTGATGATAAGAAAACAGCTGTCTATAAACTTCAGACGCCATTGCTACTTTTACGGACACTTGTTTGTTGTTTTCATATTTTCAACTTACAGCACCTACCAACAGACAGGTCGAAGCCCTGTTGTGTTCATTATCTCAGACAGCCATCATGGTGACTCTAATGTGCATAAGCTACTTCCTAAAGATGTTCAGTATAAACTGGGAATTCACAATATCAGGTAGTTTTGTCCTGTCAGCTTACTTGAGTCACCCAGTGGTATGAGAGCTACAATTTTTACTGGTTTGTTACTTCTGATTTGTGTCAATTGTTTTTAAAATGATCTTAATGTCTCACAAGTTCTATTTTTTTTTTGGAACTTTTCAGTTTCAATCCTGTTGCACACACCAGCTTGGTGAAGACTCTGAACAGAATAGCATCACTAGAATCTCAGCAGGTACATTTTTAGTACAGTATATTCAGTCAGATTTTGAAGTCGAGTTTTCACAACTGAGGACGTGTTAATTTTAAAAATTACTTTTCATGATTTGCTTGTGCAGAATAAATCAACATTTTTGCCTCCAAGCAAGGAAACAATTGATCTGTTGGCTCAGAATAGTGGAGGAGACATCAGAACTGCCATAAATGGCCTTCAGTTTTCCTGTTTAAAAGGTGAGAGAAAACTTTATTATAATATTATTATTTAACTGCACTTTGTAAATTCCCCAGACTTTTGAGAATAAATGAAAGACTGTAAACTGTCTCAAAATGCAAGATTATTAGTGTTGAACCATGTAAAAGTGACTTATCCAATTTAGATTTTCTTGATGAGGTACATGTTAATGAACACTCAGTTAAAGTATTGAGTTTGTATGTAACCTAAATTTAAGTTCATATTATTTCAACCTTGACAGATAAATCATATAGTTCAACGAAGAAGTTCAAACCAGGAAGAAAAGAGGAAAACAAACAAAAGAATTCAAATTCAAGAAAGTCAAAAACTGAAAAGATAAGCAAGGCCAGTCAGGCAACCCAGTGTCTGGTTTATGGACACACGGATAGTACTGTAGAGTTGGAGACAGTCACACCCATTGGTGGTCGAGACACAGCATTGTTCTTGTTCAGAGCCTTAGGAAAAATCTTATATTGTAAAAGTGAGTGTTTTGTACTTAATAGGGACATGCCTCCAAATGTTTTGCAAGGGCAAAAGAGGCTTTAAAAATGCGCAATTTATATAGAGAGAAAGGGGGTAGTTTGAAATCCCCTGAACCCACTTTGTCTCGAACTTTCCTGACAGTTACTGACATGTATTTTGTACACACTGTTTTTAGCCATAACTTATTTAAAAATTTGAGGTGCACATTATACATTGAGCAGTTGATGTTCATATGCCCTTTTGTAAATAGTAATATCTTGAGTCATCTCAGCTTGAACAAAGCCATTTAGAAACAATTGCAAACTCAACGTATCAATCTACCTGTAGTGTCAATTTTGATTTTTTTTTCTTTTTCCTGTAGGAGATCCAGCACTGTCTGATGCATCCCTGCTTCCCTCAAACTTATCACACCATGCAAGAAACCTCTTGACATTCTCTCCTCAGGTTTGAAGTAATATATCAAACATGAGATGCAGTGTTTCATCACCAGATGAAACACCGAGAAGAGAGTTGAAAATACGACGCGCAGCGGAGTATTTTTGACGAACTTCGAGGTGTTTCATCTGGTGATGAAACACTGTGTCGAATGTTTGATATTTCTTCTCAAACAAAATCATTTTTGAAGGAGAAATTAAGGATGCAAAAATGAGCAGTTTTTCATCTGATATCCAAACACTCATTAAACATTAATTTCCTTTGAATTTTCTTTATGAATTATTAATGAGTTTGAGAAAGTAATATAAAATTGTCCCTGGTTTTCAATTTGGGTGGGCTATAAATATTTATTGTAACAATCCATAGAATGAAACCTGATGTACCTAAGACATATCTAATGCAGGGAGTTTGCGCTTGCTAACTGATGACGCAAGCTTTAAACTTTTATTGTACCAATATTTAGTTAACATCTCTTTTAACCCTGTAAGTCCCAAGAGCAACCAACATTAAATTTCTTCCACAATTTCTATGCATAATCTACAGAAGAGGTTTTGAGAATTGATGAATTGATCACCTAATTGGGGGAAGAAGTTTTTCTATATTGATCTTTAAAGAAATCTATTGATCGAGATCAGTGTGGAGAATTTGTATGTTGATATTGGGGCTTTAACAAAGGTTTAACACCTAATTTGTTCAACTTGTTTGTTTGAAGTTAATTTTTCTTTTGCTCAATCTAGGACATTTTGGAGAGGACTCATCTTACAAGTGACATGTTTAATCTGTACCTTCATCAAAATTATTTGGAATTTTTTTCTGATATGGATGATTTGGTAGGTGCAAACTTATACAGTTGTATACAAGACACTTACTTTTCTCTGTCAATTGAGTGTTATTCTTGACACTTATGGTGACATTACCTGACTACTGATAATGGTAGAAAGGCACTTCTGTTTTCCTTGTTTTCTTTTCAGGCAAGTGTTTGTGAACATTTCAGTGGTGCAGACTTCATGACGAAGGAATGGATGGTAATGTTCTTCAGACTTTACCCAGTACCCCCACCCCTCTCCATCCCCAAACAAACTCCCTGCCTCCCAGCTATCTCCCCAAACCTGACGACATTTGATTAAAACTTTTTGTTTTAAAATGTTATCAATAAATAATTGAAAATGACTGCCTTGGGCATTTATTTATTGGCTAATTAATATTTTTTTATCTTTTTTTTTTCATTTCATCACAGCATCAGTCATCAATGAGGGAATACAGCTCGTGTCTGGTGGCACGAGGGTTAATATTTAACAAAAGCAAAACCAGTGGGGTAGGGAGAGGATGGAGACCACTTCACAAACCACAGTGGTTTGAAATAAGCAAAAAGGTAACCTTACTTAACTATCAACACCACAGAAATGCATGTTATTGTCTCTTTTGAAGTCTATGTAAAGCCATGGCAAAATTGTAGAAAAATCGTTCAAAGTGAACAAAATGAAAATCATAGAAGAGGGGGATCAATATTACTTTTTATCTTGTCTTTGATTTAATTTTAGATGCGTGATAGTAAGAACACTGCAAGGGATTTGTTTAGAGGTAAAACCAAAATATATTTACCAGAATTTTTCAGCATGTTTCTTTTCTTGAGCTTTGAAATGGGGCACATACTGTCAAGTAAAAAAATCAAGGGTGTCTTTGGGTGCATTTACACTACAGAAAAATGTGGTAAGGGCCCTCCAAAACTTAGTACAATACCGACAAATTTTGGAAAGAAATATCGGAGTTTCCACAGGGCCATGGGTACCTATGGCCTCGACTGGTCCAGACCATGTTTTTCTGTTGTGTAAACACACTTTTCATCACCTTATGGAGATGTAGTTGGTAACAAAGTAGCACAAACACCTACCTGTAATGTCAGCATTTCCCACTGTACTGTCGTGATGCCTCACACTTTAGCCTCTACAGTGTGTCTCCTTGGGAGGAGGAGACTAGAAGTGTAGGGATGTCATTTACGCTGTTCAATCTTGGATATGGTAATTAAAACAATATAAGACACATCCCCTGGTCTGGAATAGAATAGGGTATCATTACATTTTATGGGACACTGATCAGTGGTATGGGTTTAGTTGGCCCAAAATTACAGTTTAACACAGTCTGATGTAGATTAAGGGTTCCAGGATCCCTCCCTTCCCCCCCCCCCCACTGGGATCTGTTCATCAAGCTTCACATCTTATTTTTTTTAAAGTGCCCCCACCTCACGCAGCACCTTCCTCTTTGCCCAAATCCTCTAACCACAAATGGGGGGGAGTCTGCCAAATGCCTAGCACTTCACACCACTCAAGGACACAGGATTTGGAGTATTAACCTTCACCTAAACATTTCAATCCAGTTATCTACCCTTGTCCACCAATATATTAATGGCTCAGGCAATGAAAAAAGCCTTTACTGTGTTTTGCCTTTTTAGGTTACCACTGGCCATCCACAGTTCTTCAGACAGAGATTCTTCCATATTTAGCCATTACTGATGTGCCACTCAGAACTCCTGGTAAGTAATTACTTACAAATATTTTTACACACATATCTAATGTTAATTTGATATTTAACCCATTCGCCCCGTAACCGCCCGTGTAGATCCACGTCATTTCTACCCTTTGTGACATCATCAGTTTTAATGGTCAAGGACAACTTTGTCCGCTAACTTGTGCAGAGTGAAGAGATCTTTCAAACCATACCAGAATGAGCACAATTCAGTCAAGGACACCGGAGAAAGAGGCAAAAAACCATGTAACATTGACCTGAAAATCTCCATGAAAATCTTGTTCCATTACCCACCTACCTTTCCTTTCACCTAATCCTAAGATCCTAAAAGCTTTCCTAAAAACTATTCCCACCAAAATGCCCAGCAACAGAAAAAAAAATGAGGCAAGAAAAGCGAAAAAAGAGGGGAGGAGAGAAAGCGAAAAGTAAAAGTCAAGACTGCTGTGTCCCACTCTCGAAATTTTGCTTTCTGCGCATGCCCAAACTTCGCAAGCTGATATTTTACATCTGGATCAGAAGGCCATTAAGTGTATGACCTGTAAACCGGTTTGTGGTAAGTTTTAGCTCTTTATAGCACGACAGTGACCAGAAAACCACTCGACTAGCTTTAAAACGCGTTTTTTGGCAAAATCTCTAGGAGCGAATGGGTTAAAACAAATATGTCCTTTTTTTGTTTATTTTAGGACAGATTTCTTTCCTTCAAGTTATTAGCAATTTCACGAAATCTAAGTCCCCTTTCAGGTGAGCTTTATAAGTACATAAAATATTCAATAAATAAATAAAGATTTGGTGTAGCACTTTCACAGTTCAGCATTCTGAATCAAATTGGAATTTGGAAATGTTGGTGTCGAGGAGGGAGCACACTAGTGCACCTGGACGAAAGCCCCTAATAGGCCCTTTGCAGCTAGCCATTAACATGGTTCAAAACTACTACGCTGGAGAGCAAAAGTCGCACTGGGACAAGACAAACAAAAGACATACATAATCTGAAATGGTAATTTTCTTTGTTTGTCTTGTCCCAGTGCGACTTGTGCTCTCCAGCAGGGCGGTTTTGTACCACCTGAATGGCTAGCTGCAAAGGGCCTACTGGAACGAGGATGAGAACCAATGATCAACTCAACCCAAAAGTGGCATTATTGCCTCCATAATTTAAACCTGGGCCATCTTGGTGGTGGTACTTCCCTCCCAACACTGACCAACATTAATTTTCTCCTAACAATATCCTCACATCATAAAAAGAAAGTTATGAGAATTATTTTAAAAAATAGTGGGAATTTTGTAATTTTAACAAACGTTTCTAAAGTAAATCCGTCATAGGCGGCGAGTTTGGCCAGCAGCCAGCTACTTTTGACAACCCTGCATGATGATAGGTTTAAAAATTAAAGTGATTTGCTGACTGAAATTCTGTATGCCAAAGAAAATGAATCAGTGTCCATTGAATTAAGGTCTCTTTTACTGTCATAGGGGAGTGAAACAAGTAACGTTTGGTTTTACACAGGGTCAGGGTTTGAAGGAGTTGGCAGCACACCTCCCCCCAAACATTCATTGAGTACAGTAACATCTAGAATCATCTATGTTATTTTTACTGGATTTTGCAGAGGTAATGTTTCAGACACCTTGGATGAAAAAGACTGCGGAGCTGAAAGTGAGGATGATGATGGGATCCCAAGTTCACAGCCGAAAGGGGCCATTCAACAAAGAACGACAAAGGTTGGGGCTGAGGAGGGTGATTCACAAGTGACCCTTGATGTGCCTGAAGATGAAGATGATAGCATAGAAGACTTTGATGATGATTGAAGTAATTGCTGTGTATTACAACAGTGACAACTTGTTGATTGGTTAAAGGAAGATTTTCATAGACTGTCAACTTTGCCTTTGTGATGTTTTGATAAGCCTAGCAAACTAATCGTCAAAAAAAAAGCATATTAACCAAGTGACAGTAGGTTGGATTTGCTTATACAAATTGTAATTATGTTTGTGTTAAAGGCTTGTAGGTGCTATGCTTCAAAAGGGCCAAGGGTTCTGAGGCTACTTACAATTGCCTTCAGGTGACTGGCAAAATGTGCTTTATTAAAGTATAGAACTTAACCACTGGGCCCCTGTGATTACAAAGCTACAAGAAATTGGGTACTCTGTGACTTTTCTTGGAGAGTATCCTTGCTTTATCTAAAGAACTCTCGTGTGATAATATGCAAATATTACTCAGCATCTGTCTAAGGTACTTTCCACTGAAACCATTGTACAGTACTGAGAGAACCTTCTAATAGAGCTGTAGTATTCTAAAGAGTATGTTATGGTACTAAAGTTGTTCATTGTTGTTAGTGTATTACATTTTTAATATTTGGTTCCTTCATAAAAATGTAAAAATTCTTGCAACAAGCTTTCCCTTCTGAATGATAATGATGGTGATCAAAGATCATTTCACATAACTATACCAATTATTGAAAGTAAGCCATAAGAAATAGCCCCTTTGGTACTTTTGATTTCACGTGATGGGGATTATTGAAGGGGGCAAAAATCAACCCCCCCCCCCCCCAAAAAAGGCCTTTCAACAAAACCCAAAAAAATACCTGGACCAAAAATTAACCCCTAAGACTCCTTTGCCAAATTTCCAAGCCTTAAAATTCTCCAGAAAAGGTTAAATGAAATAACCCCAAAAATATATTAGACATTGAATGTTTGTGTTTGCGGCTGGGATATGCGGGCACTACCACGAGTATTTAGATTGTTTTGAATCCCTGAAAAAAATCCCTACTTAAATCAAGCCACCCAAAAAATACTTGCCAAATTTTCCTACTCAAAAAATTCTGGAATCAAAAATTTCACACCCTTAAAAGGCCTTCAATCATCCTCGTCACTTGAAATTTTGGAGTACCCCCCACCCTGGCTCCACCCCCCTTCTGGGGAAATGGCTTTCTTGGTTTTAGTTTCATGGTTGCCTTTCATTCCCTGGGCTAACATTGCTGTTTAGAGCATGTTGTGTTTATGTACTAAAACAAATTGATGACATAGACTACATGTATTTATTGACGTTTTCTGTTGTTAGCTAAAACCAAGGTATTATAACATCTTTCTCTAACTGTAAATACAAAGAGGAGTGAATAGAATAAGAAAGTATTTTGTACAAAACTAATGCTTTTTGTAAAATATCATGCACTAACAAAGATCCACAATGACATCCATCATTATATATGTGAATTTGTTGAGTCATTAATAACAAAAAATATTTTTACAAAATCTGCATTTTTCTTACTTTGCATAAGAGTTGTCAGAATTAAAAAAGAAAATATATATTATTATCATTTGTAATGAGTAATTGTTTTATTCTAAAGTTTGGATTGGTTGAGTGTCATTTTGTCACAGCTCGTAGCTGCCTGTTAACAATGGTCTTGTCATGTGCATTAGAGAAAAATTTTTTGCCTGGCAGGTCAATCAACCATTTGCCTCAGTCTGTGTTCAGCATTGGCATGTTTTTTATTCTATTTTGACATTTCCCAAGAGAAATTTCAGGAATGGTTTTATTACTTGATGTTTGACAAAAACTGAAAATAATTCAAATAATTCACTGATTGAGGGTTAATTCAGCTATGATTTTCTTATATTTAGTTAATTTGCCTTTGAAGTATTCACAGAAAAGTTTCACCAAACTCTGTTTGCTTGCAGAAGATGTAGAATCTGCTGTAAAATCTGTGGTGAATGTTTCTTGAGGGCAATACCAAGAAGAACTGGCTTATTGGAGCTCTCACTGATCAGCTTTGCTATCTGCTTGGCATAAACATGCCAGATTTCCTGAAAGATAAATCATACCAGCACTGAGACAAAATCACAACCCTAAGTTGTGTTCAAACTTTCCCAGCATTCNCATTTGTAATGAGTAATTGTTTTATTCTAAAGTTTGGATTGGTTGAGTGTCATTTTGTCACAGCTCGTAGCTGCCTGTTAACAATGGTCTTGTCATGTGCATTAGAGAAAAATTTTTTGCCTGGCAGGTCAATCAACCATTTGCCTCAGTCTGTGTTCAGCATTGGCATGTTTTTTATTCTATTTTGACATTTCCCAAGAGAAATTTCAGGAATGGTTTTATTACTTGATGTTTGACAAAAACTGAAAATAATTCAAATAATTCACTGATTGAGGGTTAATTCAGCTATGATTTTCTTATATTTAGTTAATTTGCCTTTGAAGTATTCACAGAAAAGTTTCACCAAACTCTGTTTGCTTGCAGAAGATGTAGAATCTGCTGTAAAATCTGTGGTGAATGTTTCTTGAGGGCAATACCAAGAAGAACTGGCTTATTGGAGCTCTCACTGATCAGCTTTGCTATCTGCTTGGCATAAACATGCCAGATTTCCTGAAAGATAAATCATACCAGCACTGAGACAAAATCACAACCCTAAGTTGTGTTCAAACTTTCCCAGCATTCTCTCATGCTTGACCGTGGAGTTACAGAGAGGAAGAAGGTTCTCACTCTCTTCCACTGCAAAGGGATGAGGGCTCCCAAAATTCCGCTGAAATTTGTCTGATATATAGGTGAAGGATTCTACAGTCCCAGCAGTGTGCTCCCAACCCAAGACTAAACCCATTACAACCAATCACATCCGTGGAGTATTGTCTACAACACAACCTCAAAATTATTATTACAGCTTTTTACTGATAACCTTTATTTTTCAAAAAGGAAAATATAATACATACCTCATCAATCCCTATAAGTGTTTTAGTGCTGAATGTTTGCATCCCTGTGGCTGAAGCATCTTTGGTGCTGGACAGTTTATTTACACTTATCTGTGAACAAAAAGAACTGCTCTATGAAAGAGAACCATATCCAGTTTAGTCACAATAAGAATGTGTAATGTGGCCCGCGATAATGCTTGTTGTCTCACTTAGGGGTAGAAATTGCAGATTGTGGTCACACTAAAAGAGTTCTAGACAGAAAGCCAATATTTTTACTCATATAAAAGGTATCGCTTAGGGTTGTGCATAAAGGAAGTATCTATTCAAAAAAACAAAAATGGCATGATACTGTGTAGGAATTTAGTCTCCTTTAGTCCACATTTTATGACACTGGTTTCATAGCCTGCGAAAACAGCCCCTTCTCCTCGCTCTTCGCCAATGGGGACATTTCATGCAGAGGAACGTCTGTGACTCAGTGGCAGAAATTCTATACTGATGATGTAAATCAATGTTAACATTATAAATCCGGTAGTCATGGGGTTCCAAATGCAAATTTGTTTAATTTTACGTTTCTCCTGGTTGATTTTGGTAAAGTGTTGTGTTCATTTGCTAATAAGCTCCAGCAAAACTCAAAGGCTTCTTCTAGACAAGACTATATTCCACAAGTACTGACTGTTTTGTTAGAGATCCATTGCTTACATTTGACCTTTGTGGCCTTTTGTCTTTTGTCTGTCATTCGTAAACAGTAGCTAAAACAGTGTAACTACATCGTCTCCCTATCAGCGTGTCTGACTGGATTCCGGGCAGGTTTTATGTCATCAGTATAGAATTTCTGTTGCTGAGACAAAGATGTTCCTCTGCACAAAACGCCCCAGCAGTGAAGAGCGAGGAGGAACGGCTGTTTTCGCAGGCTACTGGTTTCACTGCGAAATGATAACTGAGGAAGTAGCACAAAAATTCCGTACTGATGATGTGTTACCACTCAGATCTGCATCAGATTGAATGAAGCAAATTTTCAACCAATCAGAAGCTCTACCAGATCTAGGCAATAACATGTCATTTTACAGGGAAACCCTGGTAGCATGTTCATCAAATGTTAGCTATTCTCTCTGGATAGGCCTCCTTTACTGGTCAAGTAAAGCCTGAACTGCACCCAGATTGGTCATCCTCTAGCTGGTTTAATTCTAATTATTTGACAAGCACCCACGTCTCTTTCATATGTGAATTCCCCCTTCCCCACACACACCACCTTTAGGGGCAATGTGGATCAAGCAGTGCTTGTTTATGTCTTACCAAAGTGCCAATCTTCTCAAATTGAGAAACAATCACAAAAATTCTGTCTTGATAATAGCAACATATAACTTCTGTGTGGATCCCATCTAAAATGACCGCAGCCTAGAAATTAAGCACAAATTCGATCAATCAATCAGTCAAAAAGAGTTTTCGAAAATTACGCTAATAATGATACAGACCATCGGTCTAATTCCAAGTTTGCTTTTGAATAGAATTTCGGACACAATTGCACAAAAAGGTGTCTGTTGGCCTCTTGGATGGCTGCTAATGGAAAAGTTAGCTGAATTTATCTAACAAAGTATAATCTAAGCCTTTATTTTGTTGTCATACACACTTACCTGACGAGTCTGTACTGAGCGAGCGGCCATATTGGAATCTACTAAAGACAGCTGGGAGATCCTAGTTTTTCTAGGGAGGGGTAGGAGAGGACTATTCCTTGCAGAAAGCCACATGCACTCGGCAATATTTTTGAGAGTCGCGTCCTGTTTTTTATTTTTTCGTGTTGTATTTAATAATTTTAAATTTTTAAAATTTCATTTCAATTTTTAATTTTTTAACATATTATCGAGTGTCACTTTACACTCCTACGCTAACTGTTTTACTGAAGCTACTTAAAAATCCGATTTGAAATATGAAAGTTATTAGAATGTCCAGAATATGTATAATTCAAGGTGGACAGACTGCAAATTGCAGTAGTTGCTAAAAAACATATCTGCGTGTCGTAACTGTTCCTCAGTAGGATGCCTAAAATGTGTGCAATTCCACAAAATATTGGTTTCGGCTCCATTAAATCCTATACCAATTCCACCCTCAATATAAGCACAGTCACGGACAACACATATAAGTGAGGTAACCCAAGGTAAAATTAATACGTTATTTATTTTAAACGAACTAAATGTACGCGTCAATTAAACAAATAAGTAAATAATGCACGCGCACAAAATAAAACTGTGCACGCACAACAAGTAATAAATAAGTGATGTCAGGAGCAATTCAAGCCGACATTCAAGCCTGGATTGCTAATCTCATCTCCCGCAGGGCTGCACCATCTTTTTCGACGATATGACAAAACCATGGCGATTGAAGAATGGTATATGGTATTCCCGGGGGGAGCGCTTTCTCTTATTTGACCTGGACGGACGGATATGGTATGTGTCGCTGAACAGGTATGGTTGTGATGTTAGGGGAGGGAAGCGGAGGGAGGATCTTTTGCCTTATAAAGTAGAAAAAAGACCAATTTTTTGTCTCAACAGGGTCGATTTTTGAAGGCTCGACCCCGAAAGGACTTCTGCGGGGGAGGCGACCCAAACCCCCCGGAACGGTATGGTACGTATGTTTATGCGTGACGTTCGTCGTTCATTGGTGGGTGATGAAAGTATGTATTCCAGTGACTTTCTGCTGTCGTCGGAAATAGCATAACTACAAAAAGGATCATGAGACTCGTGTTAGAGGTAAATATTCCAACTTTTTTTTCCTATAACAGTACCTATTGATAGTGAAAATCAACTATTTTCCAATAGAACGACTCTCGTGTTTGCCCCGAGTTGCCGTAATAGGGTTATTTGGACGTGAAACATGAAGTTCTATTTTGAAAACATTTAACCGGCACACCCATGGCCTTGAGCGCATTTCGATTGCTAAAAGAATCTGTTTATTTACATTTGGCTGCAAGAAGATGCCCTAACCTTTTTGCCACTTTAAGGTCTTGCATATTCTTTATTTCGTAGACTTGTTAATCGGGTGTGTTGAAAAAAGCTTTTTAATTGTAATTGATCTCCGATATCATGTGCAACGTTTCATAGCAGACAAAGTAATGTCTCGCTTCATTATTATATTCCCTGCATACAATTTTCAGTCTTTTTTTGTCTTCATTATCAGTTTTGCCTGGATATAAGATCGTATTTATTTGCAAGTAAAAGCCACCGAATAACAACAACGCGCCGAGTGATAAATTAGTGTCAGCTTCATACGTGCAAGCCGTGATCATACAGCGTTCCGAAAAGAGCAAAAATATTTTTTTAAAAAAGAGAGAAGAGTGTGATTTTATTTCTCAACCTCCAACTTTCAAGGCTAAATGTTAATAAAATGTGCTGATCTTTAGGTGCAACGGTTTTAAATAAAGCGCACAACGCTTAAGTACGTGATTGTATTCACAAGCATTGAAAATCCAATAATGAATCAAGATTATTCATTAGAAAATCAGGATCGTGGACGAGGACTTAGGAAAATGGAACGTAATATGAGAAACTGGTTTGGTGGGTTTTTATGTACCGTATTTATTCGATTAACCGCCCTGAGTGCTTGTTAAATTTTTGGACCTTTAGAGTGCGCCTTATTCGAGGCTGGGCGCTTATTAAATTTTCACTATTCTCAGCAAGTGTAGTATGTTTATTTTGCAACAAAACAATAAATGGTAAAAACAAAAAGTGAAGATGTAACAAAGCAAGGTTTCTGTAAAATACTCTGAAGAAAACTCCGTTCTCGGGAGGGTCTCTTATTATCTCTTATTTGAGTTTGTGTAGGAGGGAGTGGGGTGGGGGTGGGCGCTTATCAACTTTTTCTGCCTTTAGGATGGGCGCTTATTCGAGGTGGGCGCTAATTCGAGGTTGGGCGCTTATTCGAATAAATACGTTATTTAGATTTTAGATTTTAACCAATAGAATGCTATAAACTGTAAGTCCGTACTCCATAGTCCATCATCTTATGCCCACATAGTTAAAATTAAAGTGGAGGAAAATTATGAAGTATCAGGAAATTAGTATCAGGAAACTGTGTATCAGGAAATTATGTTTTTCCCCAGAAAACCTTGTTAGAACTATGAAGAACACCCTTCACACAGAGTACGTTTTTATATAAAAATGTGAGCGATACTGCAATGAAACGACCATACATCTGTGTTACGTGATTTCTGGTGTGTAAAAACAATCTCCGTTCTTCATAGTTAGCAAAGGCTTTGTGTTGTCTTTCAGCGCTGATATTGCCTGCAATGGGCTAAATGATCCTATAATTCTAAATAATAACACTAACAAGATGGTTCAGGGCTTTAGGTCTTTCAATCAAATGCTCACTAAAAAGCCATTAAAGCGGAACTTAAAAAATGACACAAACAAATCAATTCAGGCTATGTTAAGCTATACCGGATATTTTTGTCGCTGGCACGAAAATCATACCGGATTAAGCTCCTGTCCACGCATAAGAACGGTGATATCTGCGCGATTTTCTGTAACGGGGCTAAGCTGCGACGCGCCGATCACTAATAAAGTGGAGAGTCACGTATTGGATAGGTGTTTGCATAAAAAGCTATCCAGTATGGACTAAAGTCAACATGGCCTAAATTTATTGCCATTTCCATATGAATAAGTGACATTGCCGATTACAATATTAGCTAATACGTTAAAGTTAAAGAGAAAATAACAAATGATCAAAACCTGTAACCACAGAAAATTTCTAGTCATATGGCGGTGCAGCTACTTTAAATGTTGCACCTTCCCGTTTTTTTTTCAGAGGTCAGAAAAGTAAAGTGACCAAGTTTCTTTCAAACAAATTGAAAGGATCGGATTGTTCAACAACAAATATGGCGGTAAAAAAAATATATAGCTGCACATAAATTCAGCGATAAAATCCTCTGTACGCCTTCGATTCGATACCCTGCGAGCAGTGGTTTCTCCAGACCGGACGCTATAATTCGATAGCCTCCCACGCAGACATTCTTAGGGGTTCGTCACGCGTTCCTGCCCCACGAACAGGGGCAGGAACGCGTGACGAACCCATTAGAACGTCTGCGTGAGAGGCTAATCGCACCTCAAGATTATTTCACACATCCTGCTATAAGCCATGTCCGAGTTACGAAAATTCTCACTTTGTAAACTACGCTAAGGGCAACACTTTTGTTGTGAAAATGAGTTTTATTTGCATGAGAATAAACAATTGTTTAATACATCAATAGTCTTGCACTTAGCCTCGCTTTGAAACAGAGACCAATCTCAACCACCAACTTTCTATGCCACCCACTGAAGAACTGGGTACTGTAAGTACATGTCGCGAGAGACAATAGCTTTCTGGACGATGTATATTCTAGTAGAAGAGTATCATATCTTCTTCCAACAGAAGAACAAAGAACCCCAAAAAGACGTGTTGATCACCGGCTGTGTGCGGCTTACATTTGCTGATAGAGCGGTTTTCACTTGACTGTCGTAAAACCAAAACCAAAGTAAATACACTAGCCAACCACAGGGCGTAGTAAAACCAAACCCAAACCAATTCCTCAATTACTTTCGACAGTCAAGTGAAAACCGCTCTAGTTAGGTAAACCAAACTGTTCTTTTTTTCGATTAAACTGACTTGACCGCAGCGCTGATGGATTACCTCTTAAATCACGTATTATGAAGTGTCGGTGTATGTTTTAGCCTGCAGTCGGCCGAGAGGCTGGTGAACAAAATCCCAGTCCTCAATCCTGAATATTTACCTCCGTCTCAGGGGATCCCAGTCCTTGCTCCCACTTCTTCACTTCTGCTACGGTCCGAATACCTGTTCACAGTACACCAAAGTATGGCACAGAACCTATCCGATATGTGACGCTCCACTTTCAAGATCGGTGAAGCCTACAATCGGCGACAAAATTTTTGAGACATTGTACTTAACTAGGGTAACTTCGGAGAACAAAAGAATCCGCACCCCTCCCCTGTCCCCTCCATTCAAAGTTGGGGTGTTTGTTGTTTTCTATAGGTAGCTAGAACAAGGGCACAACATTGCACGGAGGGGATGGGGGAGGAAAGCAATATTTCCTCCTTTTGAAGTTAATAAAACGTAAAAAAGCCCAGTTTTGGGCGAAGTGTCTCAACTCATTTTGTCGCCGATTGTAGCTTCGCTCCGTTACAGAAATCGCGCCGAAATCACTGTTCTTATGTATAAACTGAAGATCTATCTGAAATGGTTTTCGCGCCGGCGTAAATGATTCTATCCGGTATAGTCTGAACATTAAGCCTTAAATTCTTTTTATTATTTTATTATATTTTTATTTTAGGTTGCATTTCTTCTCGTTCTGGGCATGTCTCAGGCGTGGGGTTATTCCTCAGGCCCACCACTTAGTAAATGCGAGACAGTACTTCCTGTCCACGATGAGAACAAACCGCAGTCGGGAGCATCTCCTTACAGCATTTCTGTGTCCAACAGTTCTTACACCACAGGAGGGAACCTTACAGTAACTATAAAAGGATCAGGATCTAAGAAATTTAAAGGATTCATTTTACAAGCCCGAGGCAGTGATAGCTCCGTCGCATGGCCCATAGGAGAGTTCACTGAAATTCCCGCTGACGGTGCGTGATGTTGAGTAGATGTTATTACAGCTATTTCGAGAATGGTTGTCGTG